GGGCCAGGCTGAGCCGTGCTGGAGAGCAAGGCAGGCTGAGCCCAGGCATTCTACAGGGCCCCTCAGAACGTCAGTGAGACCGGGCCAGAGCAACCCCTGGCCCTCCCCTGATCCTGGAGCAGTGACCAAGAGCCCGGCCCACCTCGTCACTGTGTGGGCCAGCGGGTGTCACCAGGCAAACATGGGTCTGAGTCTCCTGCAGGACAGGTGCCCCAGAGGCAGGAGAGGTGTCAAGCTGAGCTTCCTGAGAAAGGGGAGGGAGGACAGATGTCCGGGTGTGAGCAGGAGTGAGGGCAGTGGCTGATGAGACTTAAGAAGGAATGCAGAGGAAAGGGGTGGCCTGGCTAGCTAAGAGTCCTCAGCCGCATGTGTATAGAGCCTGAAAGCGGGACTGGAACCTTCCTTCTTGCCTGGGCATGCTGGAGCAAGCACAGGCAGCCTCCAGGCTCCACAGGTGGCTGTGGTTGTCTGCATCTAAGATGAGTGATGGCGGCCCCCTGCCTGTTTGCTGTGAGAGGCAGGCTCTGGTCTGTACCTGCTGTTCACTCAGTGCCCTGTGCCTCCTGTACCTTCAAGGACCCTTGCTGGTCCCCAGGGTCCCTTGGAGCTTGTTTGTCAGGCATTTCCTGGGAGAGGAAGACAGACACGTGTGTCAACAGATCCACTCTGTAGGAGAAAGGATTGCTTCCATGCCTAGGAGGGAGGAAATGGGCTCCAGGCAAGCTGGGAAGCAGTACGTGACAGGCCCCCCACCCCATCTCTTCCGAAGAGGCACCCAGTGCCAGGCATAGGTATCCCGGGGTCTCATTGGTCAGGACAGGGCAATCACCAGCCCTGCTGGAGGTGGGCACAACTCACAGCATTCCTCAGCAGGCTCGGCTTCCTTCTGTCTGTTTTTCTCTCCTGAATGGGGCACAAGAAGGAAGTAGTGAGCTAGTTCACATCTCAGCCCCGAGATTAGCCTGGCGATCTTGGGACTGTGGTATAACCTCCCTGGAGCCTGTTTTCCTCATGTCTGGAAGATGGTCCCTATACCAAGTGCTACACGGACAGTTTCCGTGTGTTACCTGGCTCAGAACAAAAACAGACATCCAGTGGTGTTTAATAAATGCCCTGTAAGGGATGGAACCCCACCTAGCATCCCCTCTTGGCCCAGGTACATCTAGCCCCTCCCTGGACCCCAGTTTCCCTTCAGGTCCCGGAGTTCATCTAGGACTGAGGTACCCCAGCTGAGGTCCCTGCAAGGGGCTGCTAAGTGGAAATTTGTCGGCAAGGGCTTCGAGCATAGGGTGGCCACTGCTGGTCTTGGCCAAACCGGGAAGGGAGACAGCCCAGCTTGTTCTGCCCCCTACAGCCTTGGGAGTAGCTGCCATGTGAAGGGCTGAGAGCCCCCACCCCACCCCCTGGCCCATCACTGATGCTTATGGGAACGTTTTTCCAGTGACAAAATTTGATCCTAAGTAAATTTTTTTTTCCTTCTGATTTTTCATCTGTAGAAAAGATGACAAATCCAGAAAAGTATACATTGTGGTTTTTTTTTTTTCCAGTTACCCAGCATTCCACCACCCAGGCATAACAAACATTTCTCTTTTTCTATGATGGTCTGTGCAGCGAGTCTTTTCAATGGGAGTACGCAGCTCTTGGCACATCTGCCTTGTCCTGAAGCCCTCCCTGAAAGCCTCATTTCCGGGCCAGCCAGGCGCTCTTGTGGGTGTTACTGGCCCACCTCAGTGGCTGCTTGACAGCACCTCCGCCCTGAGCATGCATGCACACGTGTTCCCTCCAGTCCATGTGTCAGGCCTGACCACAAAGTTTCCGGGCAGGCCCTGGCCCTATGGCAGGCACACATGTGCAGTACTGTCCTCCAGCGGGGCGGCACCAGAGCAGGGCTGAGGCAGGCCTGTGTCCTTTATTATACCCACCCACTGTCCAGCCCACCCTAGCCACAGGCAGGGGTGGATGAGCAGGGTCCCAGCAAAGGATGAAGAGACCCTTAGCATCGCAGATCCCACAACCTGCAGAACACTGATGGAGCTCTCTTTATACATCAACCAGTGTGGCCCCCCTGCAGAGAGGAGCCCCCTGCCCCTCCTTGCCTCTCTGAGAAGAAAGGAGCCCAGCCCCAGGACAGGACATGCACTTGACAGATTCAGAGCCGGGGGGGGGGGGGGGGGGGTTATGCACTATCTCCCTACAACATACCTGAGGCTAAGACAGAGGATGCAGACCTGTGGGTGGGAACAGAACCCCCAAAATAAACCCAGCCAGTGACCAAAGAACCCTACCACAGTGAGGCTCAGTTCCACCAAAGATCTCAGAGCCTCCACAGCTACCACAAGGGCGATCAGATACACACAGCTGCCCCTCAACGATCCTCCCCTCTTGGCCTCAGCTGGGGGCTGCAGCCCCACCCTGAGCCCCCACATGTTCTGAGTAGCTCTGTCCTCTTCACCCATGGGCTGCACAGCACCTGGGTGCCCTCATGCCTCAGGCAGCCCCGAGTCCTACGGGGCCGCCTGGCCAGGTCCTCCCCCTCGCTTTGGGAGGTAACACACCTGTTGTCTCCACCTCTACGCCCTCACTTCTTGGTGTCTCTTAGTCTGTCCCAGAACTTGTGTCCCATGTCTGCGTCCAGCTCCCTGTGACAGATAGGCTCAGAAGAGGGTCTCTTGGCTCACAATACATTGTCCCTACAGCCCAGCTCCATCTTTGGACCCCCTGTGAGTGGCAGAGAAGCCTTATAGAAGGAGAGAAACTCCCTCAGGCCCCTCTTGGAACCCTGGGGGTGGGCACACCAATGCCTGCCTAGGCTTCCGGTGGAAGAGAGGACCAAGACATGGCACACTGCGGCTGCCCTTCACTCACCAGGGTCCTCCCCTCACTGCTGGGGAGGGTGGGGCTCTGGCTGCTCAATTCCTCGGCCCCCCTCCCCTGTGCAGATGTGAAGGGGCTGTTTCCATGGCTCCTCTTGACAACTTGATGGACTGTAACTTGTAAACTTGAAATAACACCTGCCCCCAAAAGAGAGAGAAGAGGCTGTGTCTGGGTGCCAGGAAACGCAGACCCAGCTGCTCACCTAGCCAGCCATATCCTCACCCCTGAGGAGCCCAGGAGCCTACAGCTTACCCTAATTTCCCAGTGGCCTGGCAGCCCCCACTCCCATCCCACCCCATTGTGCCAGCATAGGTGCAAGCAACAGCTGTGTTCCCGTATGTGGATAATGCCATTCTGCTCTATGGGTGTGGAAACTGAGGCACTGGGAGGAATCTAGTTAGTTTGTGGGAGGAAAGGACACTGGACAGAGATGTTGGCAACACCCAAGTAACCACCAGGGTGCTCCCTCCAGAGCTTCTGACACCGGGGTGTGGCCAGGTGTGAGGGAGGGGACAAGGAGGACTTGCCATGGCCCTCTCCAGGCGGTTGGGTCCAGAAGGCGGGCTGGAAGCAGTGGGACACGGACTTTCGGGTGGAGCCCAAGAAGGTGCTGGCTGTGGCTGGTGGGGGCATGAGTCTTGAACATGGCCCAAGGTGCAGCGGCAGATCAGGCAAAGGCCTGCAGGTAGGATGGTGCCAGACGCAAGGGAAGAAATGCCATGGGGACACCACCAGCAATGACTGACTGACGATGTGCGTCTGGGCCAGGGGCCTGGGTGATGTAGCCCCCGGAGCCTGGGTGATGTAGACCCCGGAGCAAGCAGGCTGGAGATGTAGCAGCTGGGGCTCTGTTGGCCAACGACTGTCCTGGAAGGGTAGGTGGCTGTGATGGCTGATAGGGGCAGGGGCAGGAAGTGCTGGTGGACCAGTGAATCACCCCAGGTCTAGAAGACTACCGAATGCACCATGGAGCTCCTTTCCTACCTATCCTGAGGTCTCCCAAGGCAGGGGAGAGGAACGATGTAGTGACTCTGGCTTGGGCTTGCCAGCGTGGGCAGGGTCCAAACTGAGTAGAGATCGGTGGCTGTAGACACCTGGGGCAGGCTACCTCGTCAGGGCCAAGTGCAAAAGCCTAACATGCTACAGGTACAGCTTCCCAAGAGCCCACCCCGGAGGCTGGAGGAGAGTGAGGATTCGTGCTGAGGGGGCGACCCCGGCAGATGGGACAGTGTGCTCTCACTTCTTCCCAAGGGCATAGCCTCTTCCTGTAGTCTGTGGCCAGGAGCCCCTGCCAGGAGTTCCCAACCTCCAGGACTGCTGCTGCCCGCTGCAACTCTGTTTTGGATGAAGTCGGTACTCCAGGAAGCGTGCCACCCCACAAGGGAGGGAGGGCCTGCCTGGAGTGGGCTGGTGCAGCTGGGCGGGCTGCCTGGAGGAGAGCAGCACCGAGACAGCTGGGCGAGGCGGCGGAACACCTGGCAGCCGCGCCTGTGTGGGCAGCAAGGCCTCGCCTTTGGGTTTCCCTTGCTACTTTGGATTCTTTTTTGGGGACTGACTCTCGGGAGGACGCACCCCCTTTCCTTAGGCCTGGGCAGAAATCCAGGAATGCTTAGCGGGGGGGTGGCTGGGAGTGTGCCTGTGACACGTGTAGCTTACTCACAGGGCTGAAGCCACTTCTGATGGTGTCTGCCTGTCCTCCACACCCCTCACTGGGTTTTGAGTCTGGGGGAGGGGGAGTCCCTTGAATGTAAGTCCCACAGCACATATTGTGGGCACAGTTGGGGCTTACAGCACCTGCCGCCCCCCTGCCCCCAGGTTTCCAACACGGCATCTGAGCTCCCCTCCTGCCCTCCACCTACAGCAAGTCTACTACAAGTTACACTCTTGGGTATTGGGGCCCAGGTGGGATGGAGTGTGAACACCCGAGGGGGGGGAGGTGCGGGGAGGGGGAGAATCCTGAACACAGAATCCTGAACCCTGAAGGGACGTGATTGCTGGTACAGCCGCCATGGGGGGAGAAGGGGGTATGCCTGAGTGCACACACTCAGCATGCCTGGCTGGCCAGTGTGGTCTCAGTTTCCCCAAGCCCGGTGCCATGGCCTGGTCAACTGCCTGGTGTCTTGCAGTGCCCTGCAGGAGCAGAAGGGCGAGCTGCGCAAGCGGCTGTCCTATACCACGCATAGGCTGGAGAAGCTGGAGACGGAGTTCGGCTCCACGCGCCACTACCTGGAGATCGAGCTGCGGCGGGCCCAGGAGGAGCTGGACAAGGTTACCGAGAGACTGCGCAAGTAAGGGCGGGGCCGTGATGGGCAGGGGGGAGGGGCTAGACCATCGCAGTGCCGGCTCAGTGGGCGGGACGTAGAGCAGAGCAGCCTACCTAGGGCTTGAACCTGCGGCCCACTGATGCCGTTGGCAAGGCTCTTCCAGTGCCCTCTTCCAGGCCTGGCTTCTCACCCCCTCATACATGCCTCTGCTCTGACATTGGATGAGCCAGCGCCGGCACAGGAGGGGACGCTTCCAGACCCCACCCCACTGGCCACAGAAGCCCCTGAGATGAACTTGAATGTAGAATCTGGATCTTGAGTGGCTTGGGGACCCAGGATGCATTGAGAGGGGGATCAGATTCTTAAGATATTTGCCTTCTGGCATTTATTTTTCTAAACCCTACTGTGGGTATCCCCATCTTAGAAATACAAAGAGGATGCAGGCTGCTGTTGGCGGAGTTTGTTTTAAATACCTAGAGAAGCAGCTGGCACTGTCCTGAGGGCAGTTTGTCCCTCTTCAAATGGCCCCATTCTTCTGGGCTTTTGAACGCCACCACCGAGCCGTGTGGAAGCCAAGCTTGGGCAGTGCAGCCAAACCTTGGTTAAAGTCCCAGCTCTGCCACTTAACTGCATTAAGCATCTTTTTGTGTCCCTTTCCCATTGGCAAGACAGCAGTGATACGGCAAAGGTTGTCTGGAGGACACGTGGCCACCATGCCTAGTCCCACAGCCACCAGCAATAGAAGCCCAGAGCATATCGCTCCATGTCCTCCTGCTTTTCCGGGTAGGGCCATGTCTTTTTGGTCCCTGGCACTCATCCCAGGGCCACACATTCATGTGTCTCCTTCTAGTGTGCAGTTGACCTGTAAACCACCCTGCCAGCTTCCAAGACCCGAGTGTAGCTCTGACAGGCTCTTGTGCACATAGGCCTCCCTCCTCTCTCCAAGGAGCCCTACAGTGTAGGGGCAGAACAATGTGGCTTTGGCCGTGGCCTAGGAGAAGCCCTGACAGAAGTTAGCTTGGATCTGATCTTAAGCGCAGACACTGAATCAGGTAGAGCTGGTGGGACAAGCTTGGGTGCCTGACAGCCATGTTAAGCGTGATGGTTGTGAGGTTGCTGGGGTTGGAAGAAGGTCGGGCCTTGCAAGTGGTGACCCTGTTGCCTCCCGCTGCAGGATTCAGAGCAACTACCTGGCGCTGCAGCGGATCAACCAAGAGCTGGAGGATAAGCTGTACCGGATGGTGAGGCCCCAACACACACTGTCCTGAGTAGCCCCTTGTGGCTTGTTCCCTGGAGTGAGAGGTGCTGTCAGGGTAAAAAACGAGGTGGGATCCAGGGGAGCCGAGCCTGTGCCGGCAGCACAGGGCATGACTGTGGGGTTCTGGGCCTCCCCTATATTAGGACGAGGTTCCCGCTTATTCTTGTTCAGTGACAGGTGTTCAGTACCCGCCTGTCTTCAAGCTGAGACCGGAAGGGGCAGGACAGGTAGGGGCTGGGCCATGCTGAGCATCACTCTCCCCGTTCATTGAGTGAGATGACAGGGCAAGCCATACTCTGCACCTCAAAAGCAGGACATCGGGAGCAGGTAACTGAGGCCCAGTGAAAGGACTGGCCTAGGCTAATCCAGTTTATCCTTGGTGGGATGGGGATTAAACCCGGGTTAATCTGTGGTCTTAACTCCTACGCCATTGGCTTTTTGAGCACCTTGTCATCAACAGCTGTTTGCTGGACTTTGGCACTAACCACTGACCACTCCTTCCTCTGTCCCTATTACCAGGGCCAACACTATGAGGAAGAGAAGCGTGCGATGAACCACGAGATTGTCGCCCTCAACAGCCACCTGCTGGACGCCAAGGTGACCATTGACAAGCTGTCGGAGGACAACGTGAGTGCCATGTGCATTTGGCTCTTGGAAGGGATGTGGCAGGAGTGTTCAGGGGCGGGGGAGGGGGCTTCCCAGGGGGTGCTTTGACAGGCAGGGCCTTTCTGATTCAGAGGAACTCCAGCCCGGCTCTGAACAAGGGGAGGGGCAGGGCAGTGAGGACTTGGGGAGGTGTCCAGGGTCACTGGGAAAGAACAGTCTCCCTGATGGAAGGACTGAAGATGGGCTACAGGAGGCCGCCAGCCACCTCCCACTGAGTTCCCCTCTGGGCTGACTGTGGACACACTAACTAGCCTGTGCTCCTTGCCACAAGATCATACGAGGTTCTGAGATTGTGGTCTGACCAACACAGACAGACCCAGGAAAGAAAAATGGCTGCCCTTGTGGATTTTTAAGTCCAGGTGGGGAAAGTAGACAGTACAACAGTCCGAGTGGCCTGTTACAAGTGCTAAGTGCCCAGCTGAGTGTGACAGTCTGTTAGTTCCACTGGAGCGTGTCACCTAGGAAGTATTTGAAGACTAGGCCCTCAGTGCCCAGAGTAGGGCAGGGAGAGCCTGACTGTAGTGTGCATCTCTGTCCAAGGTCACCTGCCTCTCCAAGAGGTATCCCCTCCTCACAGTGGTTGATCTGGGCTGGCTGGGCAGTGCCCACAGCCTTCTGGCTCCCGTGACAGCTGCTGTGGGGTCTCATGGGGGATGACTTTCGACTCTGTTCCTAGGCAGGTCAGGGAGGAGTTGAGAGGGGCTGCAGGACCCAGTTTCCCTCCCCTGTGCAAGTCTGGTGCAGAGGTGGGAGGGGAGAGGGTAGCTCAGGACACTGGTCCTGGTTGAGTGAGGCTGTGGCATTAGTCCTGGGCCCTCTGGGCAATGCAGGTAGGTCCTAGGACAGCTGTGGCTTCTGGAGAGCAGGAACAGCCCAACATAGGCACATGCAACAGAGATGTATTTCCAGAGGTGGAAGCACCCCTCGTTCCTACTGTTTGCATCTGTTTTCAGCTCGGGAGGCGGAACAGCATCCCTCCTGCACCTGGGGTCACACATCTACCCTGATCCTGACCCAGCCTGGCAATTAGCCCCAAGGCCAGGCAATACCATGAAGTGGGGTTGAGCACAAGTGGGGGACGAGGGTGGGAGGACTGAGGTGCATCCCTGTCCCTGACTCGTGCCCAGCACTCCCACCCAGCCATCTTTGGAGGGATTCCAGGAGCTAGAGGCACAGGAAACCCAGACTGGGTGGACCCGTCGACCGACCAACCTCTGGGAGCTCGGGGGCTGACAGGGAGCCCACCTGTGGCTGTCCCAGCCTGTGGAGGGTCCCATGTTGACAGGGCATCTTCCACACACCAGCAGGTCAAAACAGGCCCTTGCCTGCGGCGAGAATGTGGAGCCTGGACAGGAACTGGCCAGAACCAGCTGCCCTGCCTACTCTGCCCTCCCCTCCCTCCCCCTCCCATCGCCCCGTTGGCACCGGGTGTGCGCACGGGCCAGGGTGGCCGCGCCCAACGCCTTCTCTTGTCTTCCAGGAGCACTATAGGAAGGACTGCAATCTAGCGGCCCAGCTGCTGCAATGCAGCCAGAACCACTGCAGGGTCCATAAGTTGTCAGAGGTAATGTGTCCCCTCCCCACAACCAGGCCCGCCCCGTCCCAGGACCACCCGGCTCCTTTTGGGCCACCCCACCCCGAAGCCTCTCCCCACCCTCCAAGAAGAAGCTACCCGGTGAGCCTGAACCCTCGTCCCTGGTGCACCTGGGTCCTGGCTTCCTGATGGTGAAAGGTGCCCCCCCCACATACACACACACTACACTCCCCAGGGCCGCCCTAACCCACTTGGGTTACACACCTTTGTGGGGTGCACAATTAGAGGTATAGGCCCATACCAGAGGCAAGAAACAGACATCAAGGACAGGCTTCATTGAAGACATACAGAGTGAGCTAGTCAGCAGAGTCCTAGTCAGCCCTAGGCTGCCTGGTACCCAAACTGGACTAGACAGAGCCCATCCTGCCTGCCTGTGACCATCCCGGCCAGACTATCCCTCCTGGCCCACATGCACAGAAGATCTTCTACCCAGACTCCTGCCCATGTCGCCTTCCCCCAGGCCTGGCCAAACCTGCAACACTCACAAAATAGATCGAACAGTAGCAGGATACCTCACCACCACCACCACCACCACCTGCCACCAGGCACTCCTGGAAACCTTTGGCACCTGGCACTGGCCCCTCAGTCTTGGTTGCGTCTGTTTCGTTCAGCAGCCCACAGGGGTGGGGGCGGGGGCACAGACACTGTGGGCCAGCAAGAACAAGTCACCACCCCTCACTAGGCAGGACCCAGGAAAGGCGCCGGACAGTAGCCTACCCAGTCTCTGCTAGGCCCATTGGAGTAGGGTGGGTGGGTAGAGGTGATGGGGAACCCCAGGTGCTGAGGACATCTTTGTCCTTGGGAGTTAAGTCGGCTCCCACTGTAATGTGAGACACCTGGGGGTGGGGGCTGTTGCCTGCCTGCCTGTCTGTCTGTCTGTCTGTTGGTGATGCGGGTGTGGCCCTGGCCTCGGGGCCAGGGCTGAGCCGCTTTGCTGACTACGACCTGTTTCTCCTCTCCTCTCCTCCATGCCCTTTCCAGCTGCCCCTGGAATTCCAGGAGTGTGTGAGCCTGCATATGGAGAAGCATGGCTGCGGCTCTCCGCTGTGCCATCAGGCCTGCGCTGATTGCGTGCCCCCGTGCATCCTGGCCAAGGTGCTGGAGAAGCCAGACCCTGGAAGTCTGTCCTCGCACCTGTCGGATGCCTCTGCCTGCGACCTGAGCTTCTGCGAGGGAGTGGAGGAGAAGTCGGGCCAACGACCCCCGTACAAGGAAGACATCTACTGCAGCAACGCGGCTCTCTACTGCCCTGAAGAGCACCAGCATGACCGGCGCCCCAGCGTGGAGACACCGATGGCCGACGTGGGCTATCTGCGAGCGCAGAATTCCATCGACAGCGCGGCAGAGGAGGAGGAGGCCGGGGCGGCGGCCTACCCTGAGGCTTTCCGCCGCCGCGATGCCTACCCGGGCTACGCGGCCTCGCTGCCCACGTCCAGCTCCTACTCCAGCTTCAGCGCCACGTCCGAGGAGAAGGAGCACGCGCAGGCGAGCACGCTGACCGCCTCGCAGCAGGCCATCTACCTAAACAGCCGCGACGAGCTCTTCAACCGCAAGCCGCCTGCCGCCGCCTATGGGAGCAGCCCTCGCTTCGCCTCGGCCTCGGCCTCGGCTACCCTGGCCTCCCCGCTCGAGGGCCAGGTAGCCCCAGGCTATGCTCGGACAGTGTCTCCGTACCAGGCCGAGTCCTACCGCTTCCCGACCTCGCCAAGTCCCCAGCAGGCTCTGATGCCTCCGAATCTGTGGAGCCTGCGGGCCAAGCCAAGCGGTGACCGGCTTGTCGGAGAGGACATGCGAGGCCAGTGGCGACCCCTGAACGTGGAGGATGTCGGCGCCTATCCCTACCAGGCGGGCAACGGAGGCCGCGACTCGCCCTTCTCAGAACGTTTCTACCGCGGCGGCGGCAGCGGCGGCCGCGATGGTCGTGATGGTCGCGATGTTCGCAATGGTCGCGATGTCCGCGATATCCGCGATGTCCGCGATATCCGCGATGTCCGCGGCGGCGGTCGCGGCGGCGGCGGTCGCGGCGGCGACATTGGCGGAGGCGGTGCAGCTGGCGGCGGCAGCCCGGGCAATAGCGCTGAGGGCCGTGCCAGCCCCCTCTATGCCTCCTACAAAGGCGATAGTTTCTCGGAGGGCGATGACCTCTCCCAGGGTCATCTGGCTGAGCCCTGCTTCCTCCGAGCAGGTGGGGAGCTGAGCCTCAGACCCAGCCGTTCCGTTGACCCTCTCGCTGGCTATGCAACCGGTGAGAGAGATAGGGGCAGGGAGAGGAATAGGCTCCGGATGCAGCTGTGTGGGGCTGGCAGCAGCCCTGAGCCTGAGCAAGGTTCCAGGGATTCCTTGGAGCCCAGCTCCATGGAGGCCTCTCCTGAAATGCACCCTCCCGCTCGTCTTAGCCCCCAGCAGGCCTTCCCCAGGACTGGAGGCGCTGGGCTGAGCCGTAAGGACAGTCTCACTAAGGCCCAGCTCTACGGTACCCTGCTCAACTGACTGCCACCAGCAGGCTGCAGTCAGGGGCCCCCACCTTATCCTGCCCCAAAGAGGGAGTAGTCAACCCCCCACGTGCCCAACCCCTGCTGCCCCAAAGAGGGAGTGGTCAGCCCCCCACGTGCCCAACCCCTGCTG